GTCTCGAACCCACAGGCTCAGGCAGTCCACTCACCTCAGCCTCCCAAAGGCGCGGGATTATAGGCTGAGCCACCAAGCCCGGCTTAACATTACACTTTTAAAACACGAATGATAATACAGGAGTTGTAGAAAATAGAAACTCAGAATCTCACCATTTTAACATTACTTTCCCTTGACCATGTCCAGCTTCTCTCTAATGTGTACATATTTTGACATAGTAGACAGCCGTCAACTATGTACACATCATGATTCTTTTAAAGATATGGTATACCATTAAACATTTTTCATGTTGCTGCACATGCTTTAGTTATTTTTAATGGTAGTATGTTTCATACAGCAGTATATATATATATATTTGTGCCTGTAATTCCAGCTACTTGGAAGGCTGAAGGATCACCTGAGCCCAGCAGGTCAAGGCTGTGGTGGCTGTGAGCGCACTACTGCCCTCCAGCCTGGGCAACAGAGTGAGACTCCAACTCAGAATAAATAAATAAAGTAGCATACAAGTGCTTGGTATTGAGGTATTCCATAAACTAGCAAAGTAAAATTTATATAAAAAGCAAATAATAGGTTGGGTGCAGTATCTCACAACTATAGTTCCAGCACTTTGGGAGGCCAAGGTGAGAGGATTGCTTGAGCCCTTGGGTTCGAGACCAGTCTGGGAAACTTGGTGAGACCTCATCCCTACAATAAATTAAAGAAAAAAAAATTAGCTGGGCATGGTGGCGTGTGCCTGCAGTTACAGCTACTTGGAAGGCTGAGGTGGAAGGATCACCTGAGCCCAGCAGGTCAAGGGTGCAGTGGCTATGTGAGCGTGCCACTGCACTCCAGCCTAGGTGACAGAGTGAAACTCCAACTCAACCCCCCTAAAAAAATAATGAAAGCAAACAGTATTTGACATATATCACCAAAAATTTTATTACTTATGAAGCTTACCTGAAATTTTATCTGTGCTCTCAAATTATTTTATTTTGTAGAGTATATGCAAAAAAGTAGAAGAGAGTGAGCAATATATATGTGAACTTTGTGCAAAATACCAACTTGAGCTAAAATGGAGAATGTAGAGGTATATCACAAGAAGTATAAGCAGAAAGCAGCTAATCTTTAGGGAGGACTCGGAGGCAGGAGCTGGAATGCTGCAAGAATTGTGTGTGTGCACATCTCTTTTCTTCTTGGTTTCAGATTTTTCTGTTTCATCTACTGGTAGACTGGAAAAAAGTCAGCCCACAAGTCCTGCATTTAGATCTCTTCTGTCCAAGAGATTAGGACTTACCAGTTGGCTATATACTATCTCCACATTCCCATGAGAGACTCTAATTGGTTCTACTCGGTCAGCTAGGGTGAAAGTGGGTGCAGGGGTTACTGGCAAACTCTTAAGTCAGGGCAAAAAGGTGTGTGCAGAGTAGTCTGGGCAGACAAACCCTAAGGAGCATCCACTAAGCTGGCAAAAGAGCTGTACCCTCTAATTGGATATTAGTTAAGTTGGATTTTATGTTATACAAGGAACATCATCTTACATACATCTTTGTTACCCCAAATGGCATTACTGGGTCAAAGGTTATTGGTGTATTTATAGTTTTGAAACTAATGACACAAGGCTGATCTGCTGTTCAGAAGTAGTTTCTCTTACAAGAATTTAAATCTTCAATAGTTTCCTTTCATCAAAGTAAAATATACTCACTTATCCTCATTTTCATTTACTGGCAGTTTCTTAGTGTTAAATGTATGCAGTAACTCTGCACCTCAGTATTTTCTGTTTCAAAATGAGTTAAATATATCTGTGTATTACCAAAGAAATAACTGATATGATAAAAACTGTATAAATGTGAATTGATGCATCTGAAGAACATTGTATAACCTATAAAGTTGAATGGAGGCCGGGTGCAGTGGCTCATGCCTATAATCCCAGCACTTTGGGAGGCCGAGGTGAGAGGATTGCCTGAACCCACAGGTTCAAGACCAGCCTGGGCAAGTTGGTTTTTATCTCTGCTCTTAAATTATATTATTTTGTAGAGTATATGCAAAAGAGTAGAAGAGAGTGAGCAAGCAGTAGAGAAATTACTAAAGGATGTAAACAGATTAAAACAAGAAATTAATGAAAGGAAGCAAGGACAGACTCAAGGAGCACGTAAGTAAAAACAAACACGTCACTACTTTCTATGTTTTTATAAAAAAGTCTCACTGATTGGAATTGTAGCTGAGCCAACTGTGGTAGGATAAATTTGTCCATGTTGGGATTAAAAGCAGTTATTTTATTAATACTCTTAAGTTCCACTGAAAAAAGAACATGGTATGATAGCAGTTATGCCATATTGTCGACATTAAAGAACATAACTTGAACTTTCTCTTAGAATGTTGTGGCATAGCTGGGTCCAGTGGTTCACACCTGTAGTCCCAGCACTTTAGGAGGCAGAGGAGAGAGGATTGCCTGAGTCCACAGGTTTGAGACCGACCTGGGCAACTTGGCAAGACCTTATCTCTACAATAAATAAATTAAAAAATGTGCTGGGTGTGGTGGTACTCACCTGTAGTTCCAGCTACTTGGAAGGCTAAGGTGGAAGGATTGCCTGAGCCCAGCAGGTCCAAGGCTGCAGTGACCATGAGTGTGCCACTGTACTCCAGCCTGGGTGACAGTATACCCCAACACACACACACACACACACACACACAAAGAATGTTGTGGCATATAAACTAAAATTTGGAATTATGCATGTCATTATTCTCAGATAACTGTTAGAATCTTTTAAATTTAATTTTACTAATAATTATAAAAGATCTGTATAAGAAATGTGATGTTGAACTGTGATTTGATTTTGGTTAGGAGAGAAGAATGTCCAAGAAGACTCCCAGGAGAACATTTTTCTTTGTCAAGCTTTGCGGACCTTTTTTCCAGATTCTGAACTTCTTCATTCCTGTGTTACCTCTCTGAAAAACAGGCATATTTTAAAAAGTAGCTGTAATTCCAGCCACCATCTTGATGAGGTAGACAGTCTGACCTTAATGGCAGCATGCACTGACATTCCTGAAACTAGTTCAGCTGGGACACCCCAGATGATGAAGCGTAAAGCTTTAGATATAGATGACAGATGGCAATTTAAGAGATCACGGCTGTTTGAGACACAAAACAAACCATCTAAAACAGATACTGATAGTAGTAACCAAGAAAAAACATCCCCAACAAGCAGCCCAGAAACAGATGATGAGATGGAGAAGACGAAAAAAGGTTCTGTTGAATATCCACCATCTCCTACATTTTGATCCTTTTAACCCAAAAAGAGACTTTTGATTTGGCTGAAGGGCAAAGCCAAACAAGTCTCTTGTTTTTACCATATTCAGCCACTTGGAGTAAAAAAGTTAATTTGTTTTTACTAGGTTTACCTATTTGCAGTAGGTTTACAGATAAGTTCTAGTTCATTTATTTTATAAAGTACTTTAAAAACTATCAGATGCTTTTATTTCAAAACATTTTTTCCCCTTTTATAAATTGTTGGGGAAAAAAGCTTAAATAGATGCATTTTAAACTTGTACAGCATTCTTTAGAATTGGAAAAATGAGAATAGCCTTATTTTCACATTGTGGGAAGTTTATATGAAAATTTATTTTTATGGACATCATTAAAATTCCCACTCCTTATGTGATGATTTAAGAAGTACATTATGGCTAGGGTTGTTGAATAAAATGCTGGACATTGCTGTATTTGATATACTTGTTGTTGTAGGCAGACATTCAAACAGGGTTTCCTCTTTGCTCTCGCGTCACCAGTCAACACAGAAAAGGCTTCTGTAACCAAGTCTGAGGGCTTCTCCTACCATCAAGCAGTGGACACCAGTGGGGTGTCCTCCAACTCAATCCAGCACTGTCTGCCTGGAGATGTCAGATTCCAGAGTGAGTCTCAGTCCCCGACTTACCCCTACCCCCCAACACCAACATCAGCTGTAAGTCCAGGCCTCTGAACCTCTGACCAGTCAGCTTCAAGTTGGGTTCAGTTAATTTGTGGGAGCGACTCACAGAAATCAGGGAAACACGTACATTTACTGGTTCATTATGAAGGATATGGCAAAGGATACAGAGGAAGATGCGTAGGTGAGGCATGGGGAAGGGGGACTTTCCGGGAACCTTCTCATGCTCATTCTGGGAGTTCCTGGAACCCAGTTCTCCGGGATTTTATGGAACCTTAATGGCATCAGCATTCCTTCCCCCAGTGTATAGGGCGAGACCTTCTCTGGGGAGGGTCTTAAGACCCACAGTCAGAAGGTGGGGAATGATCAGAGTTCTGCCCTGGAGCAGGTGAAAGGAGGGCAGGAGGAGGTATGAGAAACTAGCCAGGGCCATGGGGGTTCTGACCAGGAACTGTGGGTAAAATGGTTACCTACAGAAGAACATCACACTAACAGATCTGAAATCAAATTTAACTAGGTCTCCTGTACTTCTGGTCGCTAACTGTGGAAGCCCTAATGAAGACACAACTATAATGGACACAAATAGTAATTTCTCCCCTAGAATCCTCTACACAAAATGTAGTAAACCCAAAATTTTGAGTTGCAGTACAAGGCTAGTGATACAGTGTGTTTGGGTACAGCAGTTGGTCAAGTAATTGAAAAGGATAGTTAAAGTGAGCTCAGAAATAATACACTCATAGGATACATAGGAATGTCTGTCACAAAGCTTTCATTCTAACACGAAGCAGAGATGTTCGTTCATCTGCCAACCACTTGGTGCAGTGCCAGGAACTTTTCTAAGTACTAAGTCCGGTGGCAGGAGTTCCAATGCAAACCCTGCTCATTAACCTTTACAACTTCTGGTTTGTTTCTTTAAAGTGAAGAATGTACAAAAACTTGCAAAGCAACAAAGAAAGTACAAAATGCAACCAGGATTTTCCATTTCACAGCCCTCACCCCTATGTAGTTGTCTTAATCACACCTAACTTGACAACTCTTTTTAAGGCTAAGTTTATCAAGTCTTTCCAAAGCATTGCAATTTTCATAGTAACAGCTTCCTTTTTGTGCTCTTATTTCATCAATACAATTACAAAACTGACATAGATCTGGGAATAAAACAGCTGACTCTTGGCAATGCAGAATTCAACAGGAAAGTTGTGGCCTTCAGTGTGATTATTAGGACACAACGCTACGGTGTAATCCACAAGTTGGTTAAGTGAAGGCTGGCTGAGTATTCACCTGTGTGCAGATGCATCTATGCCTTTTCCACACACTTTCTGTGGCGTGTACCCAACACCTGAAGCCTTCACCACGTTCTACTCACTGGATGGAAAGGTGAACGTGTACTTTGACATGTGCTCTTCCATCCCTCCTTCCTAGAGTAATTACTCGTCAGAGAAAATCATTCCTACTAACAAAGATTTTTATCCTCTATGTGTTTACATGTATTAATTACCATGGGGTGTTTAAAATAATACTAGGGATTTGTACAAATCATGTTTTACTGGCTTCATAACTATAGTCCTGCACATGGCAGAAGGATAATCAGAGTTGTCAGTCTAAACCCACTACTTGTATCACTGGAGAAGATGACCAATAATAGGTGACACATAAATCATCCCTTTATATAAAGGACACTACTGGTTGAGATAGACCTGTCTAGGAATAAATGTGTCCTCTTGTGATAGCACTGCTAACCATCCCAATGTAGCACTTCTACAAAAGGAAGACCCACTCTTCACCAGGCAAGCAAGCCTACATCTGCTAATTAGAAAACAATTCTGAGCATTTTCAACTCCAGTTGAATGGTATGTTGTATGAGTTACCTGGAGACCAGCTACAAGTGCCAATCACACAGAACCACTTTTACTCAAGGTATGTAAAGTATAACAGGAGTTAACATTTTAAATATCTGTTTAATGGGCATTCAGTGGTATGGAGGGGAAGCTTCAATCCTTTTCTACACAAAAGTTGGTCTGAGTCAGTATTGGCATCATACAACTTCTTACTGTAAAATAAGTTTATTGGTGGTAACATTATATAATTTATTCCCGATATTTGATGTTACAAACTTTAGGGTCTTTGAGATATGCAGGATCCTTGTATGTAACTGGCATAAACCCTGTAAGGAGATAATTAAACTTAATTCACAAAAGATAATCAGCAAACTTTTGACTCACTCAATTCCATTGTTCAGGTGTGCTTACCCATTATCTGAGCTCGCTTAATTGCTTTCGTGATTTCTTTTTGTTTCTTACCACACAGACCTATAAAATAAAAGACTTTTTTATTCATAAGCAATCAATATTAAAAATGTATAACAATTTTAGAAGTCGGGTTGGTTGGGTTTTTTGTTTTTGTTTTTGTTTTGGTCAAGGATCAGAATAGTAAATCTTTAGGCTTTGTGGACCATAGTGCTCAGAAGCAACCATATGGCACTATGTAAACAACACAAGTGGCAGGGTAGATTTGGCCTATGGGCCAAAAAATGTTTGCTGACACTAAGTTTTAAGAATCAGTCTAGGAATGATTATAGTATATTCCGAAACATCAAGAACACAACTTTTTCAAGTCCAAATTTTCTATATTTTGTCAGCCTGTAGTTAGCTCTAAGTATAAGAAGACATGCAAATAATAATCCTTTTGGTCTAAGAAGAGGGTTTTTTCAAAGTACCTAAATCCAGTCCCTGCAGTATCTGATCTAATAGTGACTTATTGCATGACCTTAGAATTTGCCAGTTTTCCTAAATGACAGAAGTAGATTGGATAATCCTTATCTACATTGAAATTCCTGTGATTAAAAAAATACCTGTTATGTGCCTTCCATAAATGCATCCAGTAAATGGAGAAATAAACTGGGACAAAAGCTGTTTTGGAGATGTAAAGAAAAGATATTATTATTATTATTCACCCCGAATGTGTAAATTACAAAAACCAAGCCTTACATACCACCTTCAAGTTATATAAAATTTATACAATTTCAGACAAATTGTATAAAATATGAGAAAAAATTTACCTTATCCTATTGTCATATTTTTAAATAAATAACTATAAAGTTAACATCTATCAAGTGTGTCCCAAAAAAGCTTATATATAGCTAAACAGTGTAATCAGCATATACTTTCAGTGCTAAATCTGTTTTTAATATTTCCACAGATAAATTTCTAAAATACTGCTGCTTAAAAAAAAGCTACTAGCCGGGCTCGGTGGCTCAGCCTGTAATCCCGTGCCTTTGGGAGGCTGAGGTGACTGGATTGCCTGAGCCCGCAGGTTCAAGACCCGCCTGGGCAAATTGGTGAGACCTCATCTCTACAATAAATCAAAATGAGCCGGGCGTGGTAGCGCGCGCCTGTAGTTCCAGCTACTTGGAAGGCTGAGGCAGAAAGATCGCCAGAGCCCAGCAGGTCGAGGCTGCGGTGGTTGGGAGCGGCACCTGCACTCTAGTCTGGGCGACAGAGTGAGACTCCAACTCAAAAAAAAAAACTACTAAAACATTTCACCTATCATGATAGGCTATAACTCACTTAATCATGAAGATAAATTATCAGACTACTTTGAGATCTTCAAGCACATCAGGCCATTTGCTGTAATTTACATTTTATTAAATACTTCTTTAGAACTTTCTAGTCACCAGACACTGTGCTTGGCACCTTGCGTAATCTCCCTACTATGTGTTTTTATAATTTCTTAGTTTCTGTCTCTTAAAGGTAGCTATCACTTTATATTACTGTCAGAATATGTAACACCAGCATCACTCTCCCCAAATTTGACACTTCTAGTTTGCTGAGATAAATAATACATGAAGCAGTGACACAGATGGTGACGTAGAAATCAACCAGAAGAGCTTTTTCCAAAGCACTCACCCTCATCAATTGAGAGTCACTGCCACAGTGAGCTATTCTTAAGACATTTGGGGCAGAGAAAAACAAACTGAGTGGAAATAACAGTAAATGAGGGAAAGTCAAGGGGCTCTTATTTAAATAAAGCAGAGATAATTTTGTATGTAGAATTATAACCAGATTTGAAATTATGCAGTTGCTAAAACAGTTGCCTCTAAAGAACTAACTTGATTTTCCTTAAGCAGGACTAATGAGCAAAATCCTAAAATCGAGTATAGTGAAGTAAAACCAGATCTCACCTGTACATTCTTATAATCTACACGTTTTCCACACAAGATACACTTCTTAAGTGGCTCCTTATAAGGATTTTCCATTGGAACAGGCTAGGACAAAGGAAGGAAAGTTGGATCATACAATGTGCTAACTTTGAATTTAAATTTAAAGGTTACTAGGGCAGGCACAGTAGCTCACTTCCAGCACTTTAGAGGCCAAGGCAAGTGTCACTTGAGCCCGAGAGTTCGAGATCAGCATAGGCAACATAGTGAGACCTCATCTCTACAAAAAACTAGCCAGGGTATGGTGAAACGTGCCTCTAGTTCCAGCTACTTGGGAGGCTAAAGCAGGAGGATCGCATGAGCCCAGGAGCTTGAGGCTGCGTGATGGCCATGATTGTGGCACTGCTTTCAGCCTGGGTGACAGAGACATCGACTTAAAAATATATTTATTATTTTTTGAGTTGGAGTCTCACTCTGTCGCCCAGGCTGGAGTGCAGTGGCATGCTCACAGCCACCTCAGCCTCAACCTGCGGGGCTCAGGTGATCCTTCCACCTCAGCCTTCCAAGTAGTTGGAACTATAGGCGCGTGCTACCATGCCCGGCTAATTTTTTGATTTATTGTAGAGAGGAGGTCTCAACAAGTGGCCCAGGCTGGTCTTGAACCCCTGGGCTCAAGCAATCCTCTCACCTCAGCCTCCCAAAAAGCTGGGATTACAGGCTTGAGCCACCGTGCCCAGTCATAAATGTGTACGTGTGTGTATGTATGTGTATATATATATATATATATATATATATAAATTTTTTTTTTTTTTGAGTGGGAGTCTTACTCTGTCACCCAGACTGGAGGGCAGTGACACTCCCGGCTGGCCATCACAACCTCGACCTGCTGGGCTCCGGTGATCCTTCCACCTCAGCCTTCCTAGTAGCCAGAACTACAGGCGTGCACTACCACATCCGGCTAATTTTTGATTTATTGTAGAGACGAGGTCTCGCCAAGTTGCCTAGGTGGTCTCGAACCCATGGGCTCAGGCAATCCTCCCGACTCGGCCTCCCAAAGTGCTGGGATTACAGACTGAGCCACCAAGTCTGACCAGAAAAAATATATATATATTAAAGGTTACTATACTTTTTTTTCCCTTTGAGTTGGAGTCTCACTCTCACCCAGGCTGGAGTGCAGTGGCATGCTCAAGGCCACTGCAGCCTCAACCTTGTGGGCTCAGGTGATCATTCTGCTTCAGCCTTCCTGGTAGCTGGAACTCCAGGCACATGCCACCATGCCCAGCTAATTCTTTATTTATTGTAGAGACAAGGTCTGGCTGTCTTGCCCAGGCTGGTCTTGAACCCGTGGGCTCAGACAATCCTGTCCCCTCCACCTCCCAAAGTGCTGGGATTATAGGTATGAACCACCACACCTGGCTAGGGTTACTATACTACATTTAAATCCACCCAAAGAATCAGTTACACCTTTCTTACTGTGCTACATAATTTGTACAAGCTTTATATTGTTTCAGTTTGGCTAAGGAGGAATTAACTAATGGAGGATTCTGGAATAAAGTACAATCTTTGTAGAATAAAAGGGTGTATACACTATTTAACGTCTGTTCAACTCTAACATCCTTCTTGTGTTGCTCATAACTTCAACATACTAGAGAAGGTTCTTATTTACTTACCTTGGTATAAATAGAGATAGTAAAGGGTACTGATACTAGTAGCAAAGACAGGGATTATTTAAGAAGTTTTTGTTCTGACATAGAAGTTTTTCTCACTCTTCTGTTTTTAACTTTTTTTCTGTGTCAGGTCATTTTAGCATGGAAGAAAATAACCTCTTTCTGAACTCAAACACAGTTCTTAATAAACAGTATTTCCATTCTGGAAAATAAAAAAAGGGGGAGTTTATGAGACAATAAAAAAAATTCAAGTCTGATAGGCCAGTGATTGCTGAAATGCTCTGACCCAATTGTAGGCTACTAAAAACTTTTCATTTAGATTAAGAATAACTTTTGAATACTGTGCTCTTTAGAAAAGAAAATAAAAACATATGGCATAACAACATATGCTATTCTTAAATTAGCATAATCTCTAGGTAGTTTATCCATCTCCATTTTTGTCTAGTAGGTGTTTTAACAATATTTTCATTTTGTAAATAGATAATACCTATGGATTGCTGTGATAAAAGGTTCTTGGACTTCAATTCTGTGACTCCAGACTGCTATATAAGTTTGTATCAGTGTTTCGGGCTTTTCTGTCTTCACCACTGCTGCAAAATTTCAAATGAATGGGACTATGTGTCTTTTTCTGTGCCAAGGACACAAGGTTTTCATGTCCCAGTGGAATACATGACCAAAAAAAAGGAGTAAAGTTCATTTACTCTCTTAAGGTATGGTGTGTAGATGAGATGATCAAGACGGATGCTCAGAGGAACTAGATGAGTTTTGCTTTTTCCAGTTCCTCAAATTTTGCAATTTACACATAGCTCACGTTAGGATTATATTCCTTCTCAACTCTGTGCCAAGTGCTCTGTATGTCTGATTAGTGTCAAATTACCTTTACATGTAGTAAGAAAAGCTATACTGCCCCCAGTCCATGCTAGTACTTTTAAACCCTTAAAAATTTTAATTTCAGTCCCTCATTTATTAGGGTAATCACCCCCCACTCCAAAAGTAATGAATGAGATAAAGGGAAAAAATGAAAATTCAAAATGGGGAAGAAAGCCAACTTACAGTTATGCTTTACACAATCCCTTTTCAATTATCTACTAGTCCATCTACCAAAACTATATTTACAATTCCCAAATCATATATCTTTACATTTAAGATCTAGGAAGAAGCCAGGGATGGTGGCTCATGCCTGTAATTCCAGCACTTTGGGAGGTGGAGGGGAGAGGACTGCCTGAGCCCACAGGTTTGAAACCAGCCTGGGCAACATGGCAAGATCTTGTCTCTACAATAAATTAAAAAATTAGCCGGGTGTGGTGGTGCATGCTTGAAGTTCCAGCTACTTGCAAGGGTGAAGCGGAAGGATTGCCTGAACCCAGCAGGTCAAGGCTATGGTGGCTGTGAGGGTGCCACTGCACACCATCCTGGGTGACAGAGTGAAGCTCCAATGCGGAAAAAAAAATCTAGGAAGAAAAATACAGAATTATAGAAGCCATGCTTCTAGGAATCCTCTTCAAAACTTAAATGACTATAATCAATGAGTTATAGTTTCTAGACTCTGAGGAGTGATTATCTTCTTTAGTTGTTTTGACCTAATGCTGTATTCTATCCCAACAGTTAAAATATAAGAATTTGATCACATTTGCCAATGTCTTACTATAGAAAGAAAAAAAATTCTTACCAGGTCCTCATTGCTGGTTACCTGTTGAAATTGTGAACAACTTCTCCGGAACGCTGCAATTAAATAGAAATGGCAATAAACCACTTATTTTTGTTAGCTGAGTAACTAAAGAAAGATTGTTTTTATGGAGTCAAGATGAACGGAGAGACACAATATAAAGAAAGATTTTACCTTCATTATATTCACAATTAGTTAAAAACCTTTCATTAAGATTTTAAATGGGTGTGCTTTTCCAGGGCTTTGGGGAAAGGGCAGATATTTCCCTGACCATACGACCTCTCACCTGTTTTTCTTTTTTTTCTTTTTTCTTTTTTTTGAGTTGGAGTCTCACTCTGTCGCCCAGACTGGAGTGCAGTGGCCGCTCCCGGCCACCGCAGCCTCGACCCGCTGGGCTCCGGAGATCCTTCCGCCTCAGCCTTCCGAGTAGCCGGAATTACAGGCATGTGCTACCACGCCCGGCTGATTTTTTGACTTATTGTAGAGATGAGGTCTCCCTGCCCAGGCGGGTCTCGAACCCGCGGGCTCAGGCAATCCACTCACCTCAGCCTCCCAAAGGCGCGGGATTACAGACTGAGCCACCGAGCCCGGCTCTGTTTTTCTTCCTGACATTCATTTTCCCCTTCACTCCATGGTTAGAGACACGATTAGACATAGATTTTAATGCAAAACCTTATAGGGCAGGCAAGAGAATGGCACTGTCATACGAAAAGAAAATTGAATGGCAGGCCCTTTCCGGAGAGTAGTTGACAGAGAAGCACAGAGCAGGTAAACTGTAGAAATTATGTATCCGAAGGTCAATGTCACAATCTGGCTCAGATTGGAGACCGCCAGACAGCAGGAATTTGCTGCTGAACGAGCCTGGAAATGTCCTGTCCGCACCAAGTTTGTCATCAGGTAAGTCCCCGTCTCTTTCCAAGAACCGCTCTATCAACTTCCTCGTAGATTTAGCCATTTAGAAGGAGCGTCCTGGGCATCTCACATCCCTCCAGGGCTAAGATTCCCACGCATCTTGGAGAAACTTAATTCCCTAGAAACCGGTGTCGTCTCGCTAAAAGGGGCGACTCCACCGACCATGAGGGTTCAAGCCACGCCGGCAACGCGACAAAGGAGCATAAGACGTGGAGACTGTACCCGTGTGCGTCCCCGGATGCGTAAGGCCGACAGCAGCCACGACCAGGCGCGCCAACCTTTTCCTCCCAAGGACTCTGCAAAACATGACCACCGCAGCCATGGTTCCGCGTTCCCCCGCTTCCTTTGGTGCTGAAGCTCTCGAACGGTCCCTTCCGGTGCTCTTCCGGGTCGGCGCGCGCGCTCCATTAAAAGGTTCCGCGCGCCAACTCAGGGGAAGCGCGAAAGAGCGGGCGGGGTTTCCATTGCGCCTGTGCGGCACTTTTCCGTTCCCGCCCTGAGGGTCAGTGGCACTGGCGATTGGATTAGGAGGAGGTGGACGTGTCCGCTCTGGCCTCTCGGAGGCTCTGGGGTGGCCTTGGGTCTTTGCGCAGGTGGATGGAGACGGGGGCGCGGTTTCCCCCTGGCCGCTCCCCCTGCTCTGCCTCCCGTTCTTCCTCCCCTTGGGCCGCTGGGGATGGCGTCCGAGCGACCGGAGGCCCCCGCCATGGAGGAAGGCGGGTCCCGCATCCGCCGGCGGGTGTCTGTGCGCAAGAGGAGCCGGCCGAGCCTGGGATGCGCTTGTGTCGCGCCCCCCGCGGCCGAGCCGGGCGAAGAGGAGGAGAAGGACGTGGTGGCCGAGAGCCGTCGGCGGAAGACCGCAGGCGTGCAGCCGGCCGAGGTAACGCCCGGGGACGCGTCCCCGCGGGAGGCTTGCCCCCTGAACCTCCCGGGGTGGTGGTGCACACCCAGACCTCCTGCGCAACCCGCGGACAGGGGGAGACCAGGCACGGAGGCTTGGAGCTGGAGGCTGCCGGTGCCCTTATCAGATGCACATGGTTGACCGGTGACATCAGCTCCTCCATTACTTCTCTTGTCCTTGTTGCCGCTGTTAGTCGGCGCTTGGGAGGCGTTGCCTTGTCATCTCCATCTCTGTGTAGATATGAGACAGATGCCCGAGACACAGAAATTGTACACGCAGCGGGTACCTGGCACGACTGAGACAGGCCTCGACTTCGAAGTTACTGCTGCGCCCCCTGTACTAACAAACTCTGTGGATTGAAGACCCATGAAATGCTAAGCACGTTGTCCAACTAGTTACATCATCTAGATTTTTAGTAGAAACGGGATCTTGCAGTGTTGCCCAGGCTGGTCTTGAACTCCTGGACTCAAGCAGTCCTCCCGCCTCGGCCTCCCAAAGTGCTGGGATTACAAGCCTAAGCCACCGCACCGGGACACACAGATCTTACCACAGTAACCAGGACCCAAGGAGTTGGGATGCTACAGTTCTGACTTCAAATAATGCATTCTCCGAGTTTACATCTCTTCTGTCTAGACCACCCCAAGTCAGGGTGCAGATTTTCAGTCTCAACTCCAAATTCCTAGGAACTCCTTGGAGTGTCTAGTGGTACAGCCATGACTTTGTTACAGGCCCGCCTCTGTAGATTGGAGTCTGGGAAGGGAGCACTGCAAAAACTTGTTGTGACCTGACATCTCAGTAGGTGTCTACCAGTTTTGCTGTCATTTTAAGGATTTAATACAGGCTTAAGAATTAGAATCGGGCCGGGCTCGGTGGCTCAGCCTGTAATCCCGCGCCTTTGGGAGGCTGAGGTGAGTGGATTGCCTGAGCCCACGGGTTC